TGCAATCTGCATGGATGTGTCCATGAAATAGGCGTGGCCTCCACATGGAGCCGAAGAGCTCACGCCTGTGGTCCATCGCCTCATCCCTCGCCTCCTCCTGCGTCCTTCATCAGATCCATCAGTGATGACGTCACACACGTGTGAACGTCCTGCTGGCCGAGCCCGCTGTAAGCAGTGCCGACAGCGAGAAGACGAGGAGGAAGAGGCACGTCAGAGTAATGGGACGGATTCATGAAGCTAACATTAATCTGACAGAGAGACTGTGTGTTCCCTGCAGCTGAAATGCAGACTTATCACTGCAGAACCAGCACAACCCGACTGTGTGTGTGTGTATTGTATCCTTATTAAAGCTTATTAAATCAGCCCACATCCTCTCAAAGCACACACACACACACAGATACACACACTCACACAGGAGGGTGGGTGATGCCTCAGTGTGCTTTGGATCAGTTTACCCAGAATGCACTGGAACATGATTGTGGTTTTAAGGGGGGGGGCAGTACGGGGAAGGAAACCCCAACAATCCACTGAGCAGCGCTTGGTGGCAGCAGGAAAAGGCCTCCAGCAGATCCAGGATCAGGGAGAAGCAGCCCTCTGCACAGGTCAGCTGGAGGTCAACCTTACCTGAGCTCAGGTGTGGTGGCTCAGCAGGTGTTTCATGTGTCCCTGGTCGGCCAAATGAACAATGAAGTTTTGTTTCCCGAGACGATCCAAACACATTGCCTGCTGTCCCAGCAGCGCTCCGTTTACTCATCAGCAGTGACTCACCGGCTCAGTCTATTTACTGTGCGCCGGCTGGGTTTATTTCCTAACTCTGACAGGTATTTCTTTAGTGACTCAGCTCTGTCCGAGCCTCCGGCTGTGTTTTCTTGCTGCACAGAGAGCCACAGCAGACTCACGGAGATGACAGGTGAGCCTCTGCCTCACAGTTACAGCAGGCCCTGCTGACAGGATGTTCAGCTGAAAGTGCGGCAGCGACCTCTTTCAGCTGTAATGACTTCTGACAACCGATCTGCTTGTTAGCTCGAGGCTAATCTCTGAGCTGACTGAGCTGCTCGTTAAGATTAATAAACAGTGAGGGTGGGTGTTATTTTCTGCAGGTGAGCATAATCAGAGGTGACACTTGAGTAGAAAAAGAGCAGAACTCACCAGCAGCAGGAAGAAGAGTCAGAGGACCTACAAAATAAAACCCTAACATCACAGCAGCTCTGCAGCCCATGCAGATTTAGAAGCAACATGAGCTGCTGATTGGTCAGTTCTCCAGCTTCCTTCTGTAGACATTGGAGCAGGGCGATATGACCAAAAATATTTATCACGATATGCATTTGAAAATTTGAAATAACGATATAACTGACACGAGACAAAATACTTTACAACTCCACAACTTTATTAGTGCAAAAACATCATTGTATTTTCACTTAAACAAGCAGCTGTTTTTTTATGTGCATTAAAGTTATATAGAAATGTAACAGTGCAAATGCAAATTCTTTGCTGACAGTTTAACCAAAAGCCATTTCCAGTAGAAACTGGCCGACATATCCTCAGCATAACCATGTATAATATCCACAAAACTTAAAAAGAGGTTATACACACACAATACAGTAATATTATGTTGAAGCACAGTACGTCTGTGAAGGTTCTCAGTCATCCAAGTCATCGTAGTCAAAGGAGCTTGCAAAGAAATCCACTGTCAGGGGATACAGAGCAGACTTCATTCTGCAGAGAGCACAAAATCACCTTTAAAGTGAAAGGATAAGACAGGTCCATTTCACTATAGATGTCCTCCAGATCAAGCTCAGCCAGACTCTGCAGGAACTGGAAACCCGTCTACCCTCTCCAATCTTAGAAGAGGTTTACAAGTTTGTGGACAAGGTTCAGCAGGCCCAACACTCTAAAGGAAAAGAAAGACAACGCAGGAAATTTCACATCTTGCTTTCAAAGACACACACTCCTCATTCTGAACCTACACAACCCAGAGAAGAAAACACACCTGAAGACAGTCAGCAGAAATGGGTTAAGAACTTTTCAGACCAGAACCTCACTGAACCTGAAAAGAGAGAGTTAGCCAAAGGACTCAATTTTGCCATTTCTCCACAACAGTTGCCCATAGTGGACCTCATCACAGCCACAGAATCTGCCATACGGATTAATAAATTATCACAGACAGAAGCAGAGCAAATCAGGATGGAAGTCTCAGCCACCCTCTCCAGTGCCAAAGTCCCTCCATCCAACCTCACAATACAGGAAAAGAAGGCCATCGCTTCCCTGAGCAAAGACCACAACATCACTGTTTTACCAGCTGATAAGGGAAGATGCACCGTGGTCCTAAACACTACAGATTACCATACAAAGATCACTACTCTCCTCAGTGACAACAATACCTACGAAGCCTTAAAGCGAGACCCCACAAGCAGCTACAAAAAGAAAGTTATAGCTTGCCTTCAAGACTTAGAAAAGGACAAAATCATTGACCGCCTTATATATCACAGCTTTACCCAGGGGATGCCATACCCTGCATCTATGGACTTCCTAAAATCCACAAAGAAGCTGTCCCACTCAGACCCATAGTCAGTAGCATAAACTCAGCCACTTATAACATTGCTAAACACCTTGCTACCATCCTTGCACCTCTCGTGGGGAACACCCCACACCACATCAAGAACTCCACCGACTTCACCGACAAGGTCCAGAAACTTACCCTGGATCCAGATGAAACCATGGTGTCCTTTGATGTAGTCTCTCTCTTCACTTGCATACCCACCACGGAGGCCGTGGAGACTGTCAGAAAACGACTACAAGAAGACAGCTCCTTGGAGGACAGGACCAACTTCAACCCCGATCAGATCTGCACACTATTAGATCTCTGCCTCACCACACATATTTAAATACAACGAAGGCTTTTACTGACAAAAACATGGCTGTGCCATGGGCTCCCCCGTGTCACCTATTGTAGCCAACCTTTACATGGAGGAAGTGGAAAGGAAGGCGCTTGGCTCTTTCAAAGGAAGAGTACCCAGCCACTGGTACAGATATGTGGACGACACCTGGGTCAACATCAAGACACAAGAAGTGGAATCCTTCACTGCGCACATTAACGCTGTGGATAAAAACATCAAGTTCACCAGGGAAGACACAAAGGACGACTGTTTGCCTTTCCTGGACTGCGCCGTGCACATTGAAGAGAACGGCAACCTCAACATCGAAGTTTACCGGAAGCCCACACACACGGACCAGTACCTCCTGTTTGACTCCCATCACCCTCTGGAACACAAACTTGGAGTAATTAGGACCCTACACCACCGGGCAGAACATGTTCCCTCTAAGCCTGAAGGAAAAAAGAAGGAACACACACATGTAAAGAAAGCACTCAAAACGTGCGGCTATCCTAAATGGGCGTTCTTAAAGTCAGCAAAGAGGCATCGAAAAGAAGACCAGACACCAGCGAGGGAGGATAAGAAGGACAGACGTAACAACATTGTCATCCCCTATGTAGCCGGTGTATCAGAGAAACTCAGGAGAGTTTTCTCCAAGCATGACATCCCGGTGTATTTCAGACCCAGCAACACGCTCAGACACAAACTGGTTCACCCGAAAGACAAAACGCCAAAACACAAACTTACCAATGTGGTGTATGCTGTACAGTGCAGCGAGGAATGCTCAGACCTCTACATTGGAGAGACCAAACAGCCACTTCACAAGCGCATGGCACAACACAGAAGAGCCACCTCCACAGGACAAGACTCAGCAGTCTATCTGCATCTTAAGGTCAAAGGTCACTCTTTCGAGGATGCCAATGTTCACATTTTGGACAGAGAGGACAGATGGTTTGAAAGAGGAGTGAAAGAAGCCATCTATGTCCACTGTGAGCGACCATCTTTGAACAGAGGCGGGGCTTACCACACCAACTCCCTGCCATCTATAATCCAGTTTTGAGTTCCCTTCCCCAGACGCCTTAACGCCCACTCACATCCTGGGCCATCTGACCTCAGGAAATCACATGATAGGGTGGGGCCAGGTTTCACAATGAGCTCATTTAAAATGTCTCACTTTTAATAAATAATTATCTGAATCTTACAACAAACGTATTCATCTGATGTAAAATGTATAGAAATCCATTATTGTACATAGTAATTTTTTTTAGGGTCCCATCATAATTTCGTCAGAAGTAGCTAATTACTGTATATGATGCCAGTATTTCCCACATTTTCTAGATTCTGCACCAGTGCTGTGTGTAAAATGCCATCAAAAAGTCAATTGAGTTTTATTCTTTCTCACCTGTCTTTCTGTCTCCTTTCACTTTTTAAAGGTTGCCATGTGAGAAAAAATATTTTGCCCTGCCATGCTGTTTATTGATGTGGCAAATGAATGGTTTATGAAAATATATCTAAATCTGTCATCAGTAATCAGTAATGATCATGTCTCACCTCTTCTCTGTCTTAATTTCAGGTTTTCACCATGTGTTGTAGATAGTTCAGGAGGTTAACTCGACCAAGCAGTCTGCTTCCAGGTACTCTTTAGAATACCAGAATAGGGAGGATGGTGTAGGTTTAAGTTTATTAGACTGATACATATATACCAACAACACAGTGTACATCACTGTGAAAACAGCGTTTGTTTTCATTCAAAGGCTTTATGGTTTTTCCTATAATACCTGGTGGGCCGGTCTCTGTCAAAATGCCCGGGCCGATTTTTTTGTCCCAGTCCAGCCGTGATCGGCACTCGGCCGCCAGCTCACCACGATCAGCTCAGAGAGAAGCGATCGATCAATAATCCATCACAATGAAAAGGTTTCATCCGGTTTCAGTTGTTTTCTATATCACACACACCTGACAAAACACACACACACAGACCCACTGGTGGTTGTTCTCTTTGATTAATCGATTTTTGATCTCTATGTTTGATGGTTTCTTAAGCGCCCCCCCCCCCCCCATCTCTCCCTCTCGCACTATCCTCTGATTGGCTGGAGCTCTACAGCAGCCTCCTTACTGCCAGCACGCGCTCCTCAGTCGGTCAGTGTGGATGAGAGCACCTTGGAGCGGACCGGGACAGAGCCGTGCTAACCCGGACTCCTGGCCCGGCTCGGCTCGGACTGACATGTTCTGGGATCTAAACCGGACCGGAGCGCGCGGGGCACCAATGTGAGCTGCAGGAAGGCGCATGCCAGAGCGCGCGCGTCCGAGTGGATGAATGAGTGACGGAGATGGACCGGAAACTACTGAGTCAGGTAGGGGGCCGTGTGCGTGTGCACAGTTCCGTGCTGCGCGTGCACCCTCTCAACTTTAAAGTGTGTGCCAAAGTCAGCGACTCTTATTGTGAACGAACGGCCATAATTCAGAGGGGTTTCAAAATAAAGGTTTCCCCCATTAACGATGTTTTTTTTTTAATTAATTGTGGCTTTCATTTTGAAATTCTGACTATAATTTAGTAGCAGGATATCTTTGGAGCATGCTCAGTGTTAATTCACTGCCTGCAGGAGGTGAGCTGATCCTCCTCACAGCTGTCCAGCTGGAAACATCTGGAAAGTTGGGTGACATCAGATTTACTGATGTCTTTTTGTTTTCATCAAGTTTGAAGTTTTTTTTCCTAAACTCAGAACAAAGTTTATTGAAAGGAGGAATAATCTTTGTCGTGTCTCACACTTGTGTGATGCAAAGGTCAGAAGTAGGTTAAGTCTATGCACCTCCCAAACCCAGCAGCACACATGCGTTTCTGTCTGAGAAACACTGTGACGCTGCTGCAGGAAGTGATGTCAATGATCTGACATCAAGAGCGCAAAGCACTCTGATAGATGAACGCTCCATGTTGTGACTGAAGCTTCTGTGAAACACTGGAATGTGCAGCTCTACTCAAACTTTGGATGAAAACCAAACAGCAATTCAGGTTCCTGATGGGCGGGAACCAGCTGCGTCTGAAAGCGGATCAAACCGCGGCCCAGAGATGAGCCTCAGCGTCACGTCCTCACAGACCGAGTCAGATATTAGGAGTACTCTCACTGGTTGTTGCTTTAGTCAGTCTCATCTTTAATTATGTTGTTTTTGCTCCGCCCACTTCCTCGCTGATTTTCCTTCATATTTAAGAATCGACTTAAACATTTCCAACGATCAGGAGCTTTATTTATGTTTTCAATTTAATAAAACTACAATAATTCAGATAGAGCCAGAACAGTATGCATTTAAATAAAGAACACACAACCACACACACACAACTGAGAGTTGTAAGGACTCTGTGTATAGATGGAGGTGTGGCTTCTCTTCAGTGTACAGCCAGCTGTTTTTGTGTGTGTGACACAGTGTGTGTGTGAGTGTGTGTGTGTGTGAGTGAGAGAGAGAGAGAGAGAGTGTGTATATGAGTGTGTGTGTGTTTGTGTCACAGTGTGAGTGTGTGTGTGTGTATGTGTGTGTGTGTTTGTGTCACAGTGTGTGTGTGTGTTCAAAGCAGCAGTAATGACAGTGAAGAGAGAGAGGATGTAGTGAGGGGGCGAGCGTCATGCATCACCTCCTGTCTCCATCTGTGTGCTCCGTCCATCATGCTCCACGCTGAAGGCGGAGGTCAAAGGTCAGATATCAGGTGACAACATGAAAAGTATAGGAAGTAGTTCCAGGCCACAAAGCTGATTTTCTGTCAACCACTGGTGAATGAAGGGTTAAACTTCCCACAGCTGCACTGTGATTGGTCAGCAGCCTGCTCCTTCACAATAAAAGCCTCCTGCTGTGTGTCCACAGTGAAATTTGAAGCTGTGACAGGAGGAGGTGGGCTGGAGGTGATAATCATCACTCCTCCACAGGGACATGAAGGAGGAGAGCGCCGATTAAAGGAGCAGTCTGCTGCTTAATGATGATGAAGGACGCTGAAGCTCTAAGTGGTTAAAGCTCCGTGTGTGTGAACCGTTATCATCACAAAGTCATCATCGGGCCCTCAGCTCAGCTCAGACGGCCGATCCTCAGGCATAGCAGGGAGGAAAACCAGCAGTGACACACAGCAGGACGTTCCAGGGAAAATGTTGTGAGCCCAGATGTGAGGCCGTCCTGTGTAAGAGCTCGGCTCTGTGTGACATTCAGATTCGAAGATGCTGAACTCTGAAATAAACAGATTAACTCACAGCTGGCTACAATGGCGGTCAGACGAGGGGGTCAGGTCTTTGAGCCTAGTGGCTGGCACCATGCTGTGGGTGCATGTCAGCCTGACATGATTGCTGGGTTTTTCACATTTGTCAGCATTTCCATGTTCTCCATGGAGGAGGTTCAAGTACTGGCAGAGCAAACTGAGACGGCAAGGTGCATGCTGGGAGTCGTGTGACGCAGAGCGAGAGACCAGTGTCATTGTGCATTATTGTGCATTACTGTGGTCTGTTAGTGTGTGCTGGTGTGGTCCAGGTTGCTTTATTTACACCTGCAGTTAAATTTGTTTTACAGAGAAATGATGGCGTTTGTCGTCACAAAACACACCTATGTGAACCTGACACACACATGTTTGGTCATCAGACACGATGAGTCTAATACAACAGTTCTTATTAAGTTGAGTGAGAGGAACAAAGCTGTTTCTATAACGCCTCATCCTGCATCTTGAAAATCAGCCCACAGAGGATGTAGCCATTATTAAGAAGTGATAAAGCCATCCTCTGTACCTGAATCTATATTTCTTAAGGCTGAAGGAAGTGAATTACAGAGCCGAGGAGCAGGGCGACTGAAAGCTCTTTGCCCCATAGTGGTAAGGCAAGCAGAAGGAACAACAAGATGAGTGGCGGATGAAGATCTGAGAGAGCGGGAAACTGTGGTGCTATGAAGAAGATCACAGAGATAAGGAGGGGCAAGGTTATGGATGGACTTAAATGTGAGAACTAAGATTTTAAAGTTTATCCTAGTTTCTATGGGCAACCAGTGAAGCTGTTGAAGAATTTGGGAGATATGGTCTCTTAAGAGAGTATGAGTTATGACGGAATTTTGAAGAAGTTGAAGTTTATGGAGGGACTTATTGGGGAGACCAAATAAGAGTTGGAATAATCGATCCGGGAAGCAATAAGACTATGGACAAGGATGGCAGCAACATGGGAGTAAGGAAAGGACGGAGTCGGTTAATGTTACGTAAGTGAAATTCATACCGGGCTATGTAAATGTGAGGCTGAAATGAAAGCGTACTGTCGAGTATGACACCCAAATTCTTTACCTGCGGGGAAGGAAGGATGGGGGGATTTTCTATATTAATGGAGAAACTGTGAGATTTGGTTAAGGTAGAGGCCGTGCCAACGAGTAGGACTTCTATTTTACTACTGTTAAGTTTAAGAAAATTGGAGGAGAACCAAGATCTCCATAAGACAGTTCAAGAGGGAGGAAGGTGGGAGGGATGAATTAGGTTTGGAGGAAATGTAGAGCTGGGTATCATCAGCATAACAATGAGAATTGACATTATATTTTCGGAATATATGACCAAGTGTGTTAGTGTGGTGTGTTGGTGTGTTGATGTGCTAGTGTGTTGGTGAGTTAGTGTGTTGGTGTGTTAGTGTGTTAGTGTGTGGGTGTGGCGTGTTGGTGTATTAGTTTGTTAGTGTGTTGGTGTGTTAGTGTGTTGGTGTGGTGTGTTAGTGTGTTGGTGTGTTGGTGTGTTAGTGTGTTTGTGCGGTGTGTTAGTGTGTTAGTATGGTGGTGTATTGTTTGTTAGTGTGCTGGTGTGTTAGTGTGTTAGTGTGTTAATGTGTTGGTGCGGTGTGTTACTGTGTTAGTGTGTTAGTGTGTTGGTGTGGTGTGTTGGTGTGTTAGTGTGTTGGTGTGTTGGTGTGGTTTGTTAGTTTGTCTGTGTGTTACTGTGTTGGTGTGTTAGTGTGTTGGTGCGGTGTGTTGGTGCGGTGTGTTGGTGCGGTGTGTTAGTGTGTTGGTGTGTTGGTGCGGTGTGTTAGCGTGTCTGTGTGTTAGTGTGTTGGTGTGTTAGTGTGTTGGTGTGTTAGTGTGTTGTGTTGGTGTGTTAGTGTGTTTGGTGTGTTGGTGTGGTGAGTTAGTGTGTCTGTGTGTTAGTGTGTTAGTGTCCAGCCCTCTTCTGGCGTCGGGATTCCAAACCAGTTCAGACCATTTAAACTGATTCTAGGAGCGTGGCTCAGTTTTTTCAAAATAAAAGTCTTTCAGGTCAATAGCACAGTGCTGTGTGCGTGGCAGCCTCGGATTGTTCAGCCTCTGCTTTGTTGAGGCTCAGACCTGCAGCAGGAAGTGCTTCCACTGGCTTTTGTGTAAAGGTTGTGCTGTTGTGTGAGTGGGTGGCAGCTTTCCTTTGTGTTTGCCGAGCTCATTACGATCCTCTGATTCTTTTTATGCTGCTCAGTCACGAGGCTCCGTGTCCTCCACACATAATTCATGTCAGAGTGCAGAGAGCGGGATCAAGACTCCAATCAAAGGAGTTTGATCAGACTCACACTCGGTAGAGGAAGCTCGTTACAGACTCATTATTGTCCTGAATGAGTCTCATTTACAGCGGCTTCATTTCTTCTGAAAACTCTGACATGCTCTGACATCTGTTTGATTTTAATCTGTTTTTGTGGCTCATCATTGATCAGTGAGGAGCTGCTATGTTGCCTTCACTGCCTTCTGTTCCTCTGAGCCTCCACAGTTTCAAGTCTCTCAGCTGTTGGCCAGTCTGCTGCTGTCTGTTGTGGACTGACGGAGCTTTGATGTATTTCAGGTTTCAGGTTTTGCAGTAAATTCTGTAAAATTAGAAATATCCTCAGAGTGACGCTGAAAAACTAGTTCATGCATTCTTCCAGGCTGGACGACTGTAATTCATTATTATCAGGAAGTCCTAAAAACTCCCTGAAAATCCTTCAGTGAATCCAAAATGCTGCAGCAAGAGTCCTGACAGGGACTAGAAAGAGAGAGCAGATTTCTCCTGTATTGGCTTCCCTTCACTGGCTTCCTGTTAAATCCAGAATGGAACTTAAAATTTCCTGAAACTCTGAAGTTGTGCCAGTCATAGGGAAGAGCACCGATCCTGCTCCACATCCAGAGGAACTAGCTAAGGTGGTTCAGGATCCTGAGGAGCTGCAGGTCTGATCAAGTTTCTGGTGAATGATGAATTCAAGTGTGCAGGTTAGACAAGACACAGAGGCTCCATACCAGGAGACATATGGACCAGCAGCACCTCTCAACCAATCAGATCGCACACACACAGTGCACCCCTGTGTGTGTGTGTTCCAACTGATCCGATTTGCGGTGTCGCTTGGGCTGGACGAGCCTCCGGAGGCAGAGCGGGCTCAGATAATGAGGATGGTTTCTGCAGCAGCTGCAGGACGCTGACGTAACTCCTCCCACTGAGCTGCTGAACGCGCTGCCAAGATCCAAACATTCATGGCAAGAAGACGGAGAGTGTGCTGCACTCAGCTAGCGATCTAATTTTAGCTCAGAGACACAACAGTAGATCTCTGCGGCCGACACATTTACTGTGTGTGTACGTGTGTGTGCATGTGTTTGTGGGTATACCTGTTTAGGTTGCTCTGTTGGGACCTAAACTTGAATGTTACCATTCTTGTGGGGACCAACTGCCTGTCCTCAGAGTTTGCAGACATGTTTGAATCTCAAATGTGGTTTTCGTGTCAGGGTTACAGTTAGGCTGAGGGTTAGGGTAAGCATAGATGTCCTTACTAAGATATCAAAACGAGAATGTGTGTGTGTGAGACACACTGCCAGCTGAATATCAAACTGTGAAGTCATGCTGTGTGAATCATGGCGACATTAGTGAGGAATTAACAGAAGACTCCACCTTTTCGCAGACTGAGCAGCTGATTGATGATCAATCACTGAGCTGATTGATCAGTGATCACTGGAGCTGTAGAGGCAGAGATGAGCGACAGGCAGGTGAGAGCTGAATATTTGCTCAGACTGAACGCCCTCTGAGGAAACACCATCTGATCTCACACTCAGATATGAAGGAGTCGGCACATGCACTATTACTGCTGTCCAAACAAACAGAGCACCTCAGAGAAGGTCCTGAGACAGAACATGACCCAGCACATAGCTTCGATGAGAGCGCCACCTTGGTACCAATGTAGCAGGTCCACTGATTTAAACAGGCCTCGCCAATCGCAGTGCATTCTGGGTAGTTGCTGTCATGTTATTGTTCATCCAGAACCAAAACAAAGATGGACACCAACAGGAAATAAGAGGAAAACTCATGTGAATGATCAGCAGTTGATCAGATTCAGAGAGAAACAGCGAGGCGGTCCGATGTTCAGCCCGTCTGTGGTGTTTGTGGGCGTGGGCGAGTCACGGCTCTGTGATACACGTTTCTGCATCTCTGACTCTGCAGACAAGCACTTTAGTTTCACTAAACTGTGAATCTGAAAAATGAAAGTCATTCATTGAAGCAGGCTTATGTCTCTTATTTTGGTGCAGTCTTCATTACTTCACTTCCTGTTCTGGTGCTGAAGGTGATCTGCCTCCTTCTTCCAGCTGATACCCAGCCACTTGTCATTGGATGGCTGACCTCAGCTGGTTGTTGCTGTGACCAATCACAGCTCAGCGACCTGATTCGCTGCTGTAATGGACGTCCGCTCCAGGCGTGCATTGCAGCAGCGTTGCATTCCTCCTCTGTGTTCCATTATCGCCGTAGAGGCGATGCAGTGCATTCTGGGACTGCAGCTGCATCATTAACAGGAGGATCCTGAGCTCCATATCATATAAATGAGACATTATTAGTCAGTTAGAACAAAAACACAGAAAACACGCTGACGAACACTGCGCCGCTCAGCTGGATCATCGCCGACCGCTGGTCATGTGATCGATCTGAACCGAAACTCTGCTTTCAGGTGGTCTTCGTGTGCGTGGCGCTGAGCGGGCCAGTCTCCCCGGCTGAGTTAACCTGCGAAACTTTGATCCTGCTGTCGACCAACTTCACAGGTAACTTCCTGTTTGGGATTTCCTTTGACGTGCTCAGTGAAACCGGAGCGCCAACACCTTCTCTGTGTTCTGCCTCTCAGCAAGGACCTTAGTCCTGCTCAACCAGACATTTACCGTCAGCAACTCCTCAGGTCTGTATCACACACTCACCTTTGACTTTTGACAAGCATCAGCACCAGGATCACCATGAGGTACTCTGCTTTTCGCCATGGCTGTACTCTCAAGGTGTACCTGTGCAGTACTGTTTAAGACTCCAACAGGAAAATTAAGAGGTGCTTCCTGTTTGAGTCATTCTCTAACTTTCATTGTAGACTTCAATAATATTTACCAAAGGTGAGTCTCATGAAGTAAAGTTCCCTACAGGTCCTTCTGCCTCTCACCTATCGCTCTCTCTTTGCAGGTGTGTACTGTGACCTGTCGGTGGATGGGATAGGAACCTGTTGGCCTCGGAGTGCAGCAGGTGAGCTGGTCTCCAGACCGTGTCCTGAGCAGTTCAACGGGATCCACTACAACACCACCAGTAAGTGCCACCTGCTCAGATGTAGAGACTATCATGCTAACACGTTCACAGACAGTTTCTGATGTGTGAATGTGACGACAGCTACACACTTTCTCTCAGACACAGGCAGAGTTTTTTCTCTCATAAATTTAGATTTTTATTTTTTTACCTTTAGGGGCAACGACGAGCTGTTGACCGTTCTCTCCTAGAGGGGGCATGTTTTTCACAGTATATACTCTGTCTCCATTGTCTTCAACTGATCTTTATCCACAGCCAATCAGAGGCTGCCAATTAAGTGTCAGCCAATCACAGTTTCACACTCTGTGTTCTCAGTGACGTCCAACACCCACTCCGTACCAGGAGGAGCTGACTTCTTCTGTGCCAACTGTCTTCATTATATCCACTGTGTGTGTGGGTGGCATAAATGTCCTGTTTAATTAAAGGTTTAGGTTGCCAATCGAACTTAATAGCATGAGTCATCTGTGTGTGTGTGTGTGTGTGTGTGTGTGTGTGAGTGAGTGAGAGAGAGACCAGCTGGAGCTCATGTTTCACTGGACCTTTATAATTTCTTCACACACAGAAAAAATCTTGCCTCTGATGTAATTTGGCATCTGATCGGGTAACATGTTAATAAAGCGTCTGTCTGTGGGCACTGATGTATTGATCTGATCAGACTGATGTAAATCAAACACAGCGTGCACTGATGAGGTGGGTGATCAGGGGCGTAAGGCCCTGATGACAGCTCAGTAGTTGCCATGGTTACACTGGAGTTGAGTTGGGTTGTGTTGTCTTCAGATTCTGATCAGTTCTCTCTAATAATGATTGATTGAGATATTGATGGATGATTAGGTCCAGTTCTGTTTGTGAGCTGTGAGTCTGAGGACCCAGAACCAGATCCAGAACCTGAGCTGGTTTATCGATGTCAGGGAGCAGACATGTCAGAGGGAATAACTGTGGATGAAATGCTGTTCCTAATTTAAATAAATTCAGATCAAACTGAGGTTATTGTACTTGGCCCTGAAAATCTTAGAAATATGGTATCTAAGCAGATTCTTACTCTGGATGGCATTACCTCGGCCTCCAGTGACGCTGTGAGGAACCTTGGAGTCATTTTTGACCAGGACATGTCCTTCAACGCACATATTAAACAAATATGTAAGACTGCGTTCTTCCATTTGTGCAACATCTCTAAAGTTAGAAATATCCTGTCTCAGAGTGACGCTGAAAAACTAGTTCATGCATTTATTACTTCCAGGCTGGACGACTGTAATTCATTATTATCAGGAAGTCCTAAAAACTCCCTGAAAAGTCTTCAGTTAATCCAAAATGCTGCAGCAAGAGTCCTGACAGGGACTAGAAAGAGAGCAGATTTCTCCTGTATTGGCTTCCTGTTAAATCCAGAATTCAAAATCCTGCTCCTCACATACAAGGTCTTAAATAATCAGGCCCCATCTTATCTTAATGACCTTGTAGGACCATATCGCCTCTGTCAGTGCGCCCCAGGGTGGCTGTGGCTACAGTGTAGCTTGACATCACCAGTGTGTGAATGTGTGTGTGAATGGGTGAATGCGTAAAGCGCTTTGGAGTCCTTAGGGACTAGTAAAGTGCTATACAGGCCATTTACCATTTTATATCACCGTATTAGAGCACTGCTGGTTTACTTGTCTAACTAGGGTATTTCACTAGCTGAGACCACATCCTCATTTAGATCTGACAACAGATGCTGAAGAATTGTGAACTGATGCTGCAGTTTGGGGAAGGCCTCATAGTGGACTGACAGCAGCTACTCGGCGGATCCCCAAAGAAGGAAACCCCCTAAAAGTAGTAATGAAGTGCCTTGAGGCAATAGAATTGAACTGAATTGAACTTTACAAAGGTCTTGGAGATTCTTGCAAATATACAATTGGTAGGTTTGTAATGACCGGCCAATTACAAGCCTACCCATGGTCAGAGATTCCTTTGCTAGAAGCGGGTGTTGCTGCACTGATGCAGAAGGAATGGCCAGAGAAAAGATTAGGAGAAACTCCAGACAATGAGAGAACTTGATGAAAGTGTGAAAGAAACCAGGATCTGGTAGAAACGTGGATAAACACAATGATAAACAGTTTTTGAAGGTGAGGTGTGCTGGAATTTTCTAAGGTTGAGGTAATTGGTCAGCGGACCATGGGGGCTTAGACATGAGCTGATTTTGAAGAGAACCACCTTCTGCCATAATAACCACCAATGCAGATAGATGAAGGAGCAACATCTGTTTAGAGCTGAATGTGGTCAGGGTGGGACAACTGATCATCAAAACGAAAGTGATGCCATTCCTGTGAGCGAGACGTTGCCAGAGTGATTATGGCAAGGACTGATGGTTTAGATGCCGCAAGTGGTAGCAATTATGCACAGAGCAAAGTTTAGGTGTCCAACAGGAAGAGCAGCAGTCCTTTAGCACAAGAGGGAACAAGGAGAAAGTTTTGAAGGACGAGATTGATACAATTAATGTGACATTAATACTTCTCTGAACAAAGAAGCCTGGAACTAAATGTTGTCAAGGGTTACGCCAAAAAAAACCTCCTGTTTCTCTTCTGACAATGGAACGCCAAGTTCAGTGAAAATTGACTTCAGGGTGGATACCTCAAGAGCTGGAGAGGTGATATGACCAGGAAATCGTTGAGAAGATGGACCAGATATGGAACTTTATGGTTGTTAGAGACATTCCAAAGTAAGTCTCCAAATGTTGATTCTGTTCATCTGGACGTAGCGTTTTGTGGGAGAAACGTTTCATCACTCATCCCGGTGACTTCTTCAGTCTCAGCTGACTGCAGGTTTCAATCTTATAAACAGTACGTTTGCATAATGACTGAAACCAGCCCACTCAAGGAACAATGGGCTGGGAGGTCAGTTCCAGGATCTAAATCAAGGATTTATACATCGCGGAAAACTAAACCAAACAGAAGAGCCACCTCGTCAGGCCAGGGCCCTGCAGTCTACGCTGGTTTGAGGGCAGAGTCAAGGAGGCCATTTACATGAAATGGGAAAGACCATCTCTGAATCGAGGAGGGGGCCCAAGGGTACATCTGTCACGATCGTACAATGCTGTGATTGCAGCCATTCTCCACCTCTCTGTGAATGGGTTAGCAGCAGCTTTCCTCTGGTTCACCTGATGCTCCACCTCACGAGGCACGTGATCAATAGTGGGACAGGACAAGGACAAGTCCCAATAGGGCTTAATATCTGGGTCTCTCCACTGGCTGGTACTAGAACTGAAGAAGTTTCTCGGATGAAATGTCTCCAAGAAACTTAAAGAGGTCCAGACGCTTTTCTTTCCGAGCTCCTTACACCGTCTCACTGCATTCAATCATTACTTATTATTAACCTTTTCATGCATGAATTATAACAACCTCAATCAGGTTTTTTGTTCATCTTTAGGCATGAAAAAAAGATGAAAAAAAGATTTTTCAACTTCATTTTTTATTAAACACAATATTTACATTACTGCAAAGCAGAATACCAGGAACCTAAGGCTGGAGGGTTGTCTGCTCACTCATCCAGGTAAGGAATCCCAAAAGTTAATTCTGTTCGTCTGGGAGAAACTTTTCATCATCATCAGGTGGCTTCTCCAGTCTCAGGTGAACAGAAGCAACCTTTTGGGACTAAGTAGGGTTAATTCAAAAATTACTATTACTTCTATTACTAATTGGTTTTGTCTCGTGGGAGTGTCTTTATTTCCACAGTATTAACTCCAGTTTTCGGGCCCTGTTACATACATTTCAGGGTAATATTACTCAACTGTTAACATATTTGCTACTTCTATAGCACATTTGATTACAACAGCAACGATGACCAAAGTGCTGTACAAAAATGCAAAAATGCAAAACAACTAGTACCAAATAACTTTGGTACTAGTACTAATTTGATAGTAAATTACAAAATACCACAGTATTACGTTCTTGTTTAGCCCTCGTTAGCCTGCTATTACCACTTTATTACGAGCTGTAATGGAAAAAAGAAAACTTTATTCAGCTGTAAAGTCATAAACAAAGTCATCATTTGTTTGACATCAGGACGTGTTGTTTTAGTTAAGCGCTTCATAAGAGAGCAGCTGGATTCTGTGGTTCACATCTGTCAGAAAACTGTTTAACTCGACTGAAGGCTTCACGGCTCAGGTCATTACTTGGACAGGCTGACAGAAAAAACAGACTTTGTGAGCACGGTTGGGATCAGCTTTTTTAACCTGTAGCTCTGTGACTCACGTGTCATGTGACTCGTATTTTACCTGTACTGACAGTAACGCGTTGATGTTTGTGTTCAGATCGGGTCTACAGAGAGTGTCAGGTGAACGGCAGCTGGGCGGCTCGAGGAAACTACAGCCAGTGCACCGAGATCATCGTCCTGGTGAGAAGCACCAACGCCAATCACTGATCAATATGCTCTGACCGTGTTTCTATTACTGATGAGCTCGTAAACCCGAACAGAGCCTTAACTAACACGATGTTTGGTAGTAATGCACAAGTCCTTTTAAAGGAGGAAATCATGATCAGTGTGTGGCAGTTTAAAAGGAGTTAGTGCAGGTTTCACTCGTATGTTTGTTATTGGGCCCAAAATGAGGGTAACGATGTGACATCACTAAAGCTCCGCCCACCCTCTGTCATTACTCTGACAGACCAAGGACAACTACGTCCCCAGATGATACATGGGACAGGAAAACACTTTCAGTGTGTGTGTGTCTTTGTGTGTGTTCACACGTCTGCTGGGTGATAATGGTCTTCTCTGATATTCTCATCAATATTGGATTTAGATTCACTCTGAGTGTTGTCTGATGACATCAGAATGCTCATACCACCCGCCCGTCTGTCTGTCTGCCTCAGGCTTATATACTGGTGTCATCAGAGCATGACACACACACACACACACACACACACACACACACACACACACACACACATATATGTTGGGTCTGTGTTTCCACATGCCCCGCTAGTTTAGAGACTTATTCCTCATGAAGAACGGAAAACAAGACAGAACATCTTCAACCGGCTTTTTACCCGCTAACAAGGGAAGTTTGGTCAGAACCAGCTCCTCACCTGTCTCTAGCCCAAATCCTTCAAAGAGTAGCTTCCCTCGCAGCTATTTATTCCCATGATAGTTACAGTACACAATACAACACAACACAAGTACCTCCCACCGTAAAACCCCCCAATGGTTACAAAGACAAGGCACTGTGTGTGTGTGTGTGTGCACGTGTATGCATGTGCAAGAATGTGTGTGTGTGTGTGTGTGTGTGTGTGTGTGTGTGTGTGTGTGTCTGTGTGCGTGACTTCCTGATCACAACATCCTTGGTCATAAAGGGGGTAATCTCCCCCACACCCAATATATGGTTCAATTCCTGTATTGGTTCTAGGGCTGCCACGATTAGCTTAACTAGTCACGATTACGTCGACTATCAAAATCGTCGACGACTAATTTAATAGTCGATGCGTCGTTTAAAGCTTTGTAAGAACACAAAAGACGCAGGAATAAGTAGTAGGATTTAAGAGTGTAATAACGGACTGAAACAGAAGATGGCAGCACTGCATGTACAAGGATGCCAGCTGCTGTTAAACCGCGAAGAAGAAGAAGCAGCTGTGTCCAGAATTCATAGCGTGGCCAGCTTAGTTTCCAACAATGGCGGGAGCTAGTTAGTTTTAATGTTACTCTTATTATTCTTTCTGGGTCACAAAATAAACGTTTAACATATTTTCAGGCTGGAATGTAGCTGTGTAAACCTCAAATATCTGCTCAGTTTATCAAGACACCGCATATTTTCAAAAGCGCTCCGACGTTTTCGGAGACGTCTGTTACCCACTAGCTTGATAGCTAGCCGGGGGCTAGGCTCACTAGCGCCGTGAGAACAGCGGACTCCCGGCAAATCGTTTTCAAACCCACCGCTGTCTTTCGCTACTCAGGTTAAACATGATATATATGAGTCACTTAGATAACTTAACAATGTTATTGTTTGGCTTTTTTTAGTATTTTATTTGTTCCTGAGTAAATCGGTTTGGCTGAGATTAAAGTTATAGTTTTTACACAGCGGAATAAACGTCAAGCAGACAGCTGATTATCAGAAGTGTGAGATGCTCCAGAATTTACTCCGGTGTCCTGTTATATTTTAGATAGCAAGGAATTTATTAAACTTCACCGAAACAATCTGCAAATTTCATTAAAATTTAATAAACTATCATCTTGTCTTTATTTTTAGTTAGCACCTTAAACACTTAAAGATGTAAGCTAATGATAGTTATATAAGAGCAGATGCTGCTGGTGCAATAAGCTGTACGTTTTACGTCCAACGGATGCATGATCTGATTAGTCGACTAACCGCAAAAATAATTGGTGAGTAGTTGACTATCAAAATAATTGTTTGTGGCAGCCCTAATTGGTTCACCATATGCACAACACAGTGAAACCATAAAAAGGGCAGGAAGGTTAGCAAACATCAAACAGAATCTTCACATGGGATGAGCTTGTGATAAAACACTGCAGCCTCCCCCCAGAACCTCGAGAGGCTGGGGGGGGAGGGCCTTTGAACACAGAGTTTGAAACAATGTAGAGGTGGTAAGCATAAAACATTTAACAATTCACTTTAACAATATATATATAGGTACATATTTAAGAGAAACAGGAAAAAGTTTGGAAACACCTTCTCATTTAGTGGTTTAAACTGGATCTGCTGGGATCAGTATAACCGGTTTCTGCATCACTCCGCTGCAACAGTTCGGCCCAAACCAACTCCTCGACTCTGCTTTGTGTTTTTAAGAAGACAAGGAGTCTCTGATCGATCGTTGCCACTTTATTTCCTGAATGGAAACAATGGTGTTTTATCAGTGCACAGGCTCGCCACACACCACTCCGCACAGAAACACTACAGCAGAACATCCCATTAGCATTCTGCTTTAGCACACAGTTTTACACAGTAATAAACAAATGAAAAGTACATAAACTGGTGTTGGACATGTGTCCACTAAGCACTTATTACACTTGGTGCCCATCAGCTAATCAAACATGTTTTATGTTTTATGTGTACTACTTAGCTATATCGTGTGCCGAACAATACAACTCACCTCTCGTATGGCTACGGCAGACTGGCAGCAATTACTGCAGCCAGCCTCACCTAACCAGCCACACTGAGGGGGGGGGGGGGGGGCTGTTTCCCCATTACACTGACATTTGTGGCAAGTGGAATAATACCACATAAACACTGTTACATCAGCACCTCACTGTGAAACTGGCTGCTGGATTTCCTGACAGGAAGACAGCAGACAGTACGGGTCAGCAGCATCACCTCCAGCACAATAACACTGAGTACATGGGCTCCCCAATGATGTGTGCTGAGCCCCCTGCTCTTTACTCTGCTGACCCACGCCTGCACACCATCACACAGCTCCAACCGTTTCATCAAGTTTGCAGATGACACAACTGTGGTAGGTCACATCAGCAACAACGATAGGGCCTGCTACAGGAGTGAAGTTAAACATCTGGCTGAGTGGTGCAGCAACAACAACCTGTCCCTGAATGTGGAGAAGACCAAGGAGATCATCACAGAAATCAGGAGAGCTCACACCCTGCACACCCCACTAACCATCAATGGTGCTCCTGTGAGGGTAAGCAGCACCAAGTTCCTGGCTGTGCACATCTCAGAAGATCTCTCCTGGTCAAGAACACAGCATCACTGGTCAGCGAAGCCCAACAGCTACTCTACTTCCTCTGCAAACTGAGGACAACGAGAGATTCAACCCCCATTATGAGCACCTTCTACAGAGGCGCCGTGGAGAGCATCCTCACCGCTGCATCACTGTGTGGTATGACTCCTGCACTGGGCCCTGCTGGAAAAGTTACAACAGGTAGTGAAAGCAACAGAGAGGATTGTGGGTACCTCTCTTCCCTCCCTCCAGGACATCTGCTGCACCCGCCTCATCTGGAAAAGCCTCTGCATCACAGTGACTCCACCCATCTGTCCAACAGCTTCTTCAGTTTGCTGCCACCAGGAAGGCGACTGAAGAGCCTCGGGGCCAGAACCAGCAGACTGAGAGACAGCTTCATCCAATTTTTATTTTTATAAAATTGGATCGTTGCACCCCTAGTATTTATGTATATGTATTAGAGGTGCAACGATACACAAAATTCACGGTTCGGTTCGGTTTGGTTCGATACTTTGGTGTCACGGTTCGATATTTTTTCGATACAAAAAAATGTTCATGCCTTTTTAATTTGTCATTTATTAAAATTATAAATATATATTTTAACTCAAGTACAGTTTTTAAATTTAATGTTGCTGAAACAACAAAATAATAGTAATAATAAAAAAATCTATCTGATGGAGAAATCACTCATCTTTGGAAAAGAGAGTTTATTACAGAGAAATGTCTCTTTCCAAAATAAAAGCTATACTATACGCTTCTTCTGGGCTATATTCTCAGCAGCATATTAAACATATCAGGTCCCCATAAGGAGAATCACGTGCTAACGGCTGTCTAAATGACTCGGGTAAAGCATGCGTGCTTGTTGTTTTTGTCTGCTTCCACTTGTCTTTGCACGAGGATGATGTCGGAGTAAATGTGCAGTCATATTCGTTGTGTTCCCACTAGTGCTGTCAGCGTTAATCTCATTAATATGACATTAACGCCATAACCAGTGATGGGAATAACGCCGTTACAAGTAACGTTTTTTTGGCCTGTCCCATTTGGTTCTTTAGCCGTCAGAATTGTTGTCTGAAGACCAACAAGGATACCCAATGGATTTACTTTGCCAAGTGGATCATCACGGCCTTGCCGTATTGGTATTTGATCGACCTTTGTTGTTATTGTTTATAATATTTTATTTTCAGTTGTTACAGATGGGACAGACATGACTAGAGGATAGGAAAGGGAGAAAGAAAGATGAAGGAAAAGAAAAACAGAAGGGAAGAGGGACAGTGAGAAAGGGCACTAAAAAGAGAAAGAGAGAAAAAATCTCCTGGATCACCTGTTGAGAGAAAAGAAGAGAAACAAGCAAAAAACCCAGAGCAACATACTAAACACAACACCATCACGTTAATCTAGCTAAGTGTAAACTGCAGTAAATACTAAATATTGAATGTTGTTGTGCAGCACGCAGGACCGACAGCGCACAATGTGCTTTGAGGTAGCAGCCAAGAAAGGTGTAGTTTATGTCTATGAACAGTGAACACCTGTGTGCACACCTGTGTGGATCAGCGCGCTTGTATTCAAAAGGTTTCCCCATGTAATCGTCTGCAAGAGGGTGTAGAGAGCCATAGCCCGCCCCAGGGCATGAAGCTGGCATGGAGGAGATCCAGACATGTAGAGGCCCCAGAGTGCGAGAGCCCAAGGAGGAGCACCAGGGGGGCATCCGTGCCACCCTCCTGGGAAGAGCTGAGGAGAGCCCCAGACAAGGGGTCACCCAGTAGCCACGGAGCAGAAACCAGAGGGGGCTGCACTGGCGTGCCCGCCAGCTGTGCCAGAGTGAGCCGAGCCGCAGGCCCAGAGGCCGGAGGCCCGAGGGCCCCCTACGCCCCGGAAGAGGCACCAGGACCCGCCAAGTAGCCACCGGGAGTGAGCTGGTACATACCAACGCACCGACCCCTGAGGGCATCAGTTACCGGCAGGGAGTAAGGTGTTACTAACGGCGTTACTTTTTTCAGTAACGAGTAATCTAACTAATTACTATTCCTGTCGTTACAACGCCGTTACAGTTACTAACAAGTAAATGCGGTCCATTACTATTTTTCAACAAACAGACGGTTGAAGCTCTGTTCAGCTTACCGCATCTTATATCAGTTGAACGGATTAGCTGACTACGTAAGTAATCTGGACGCTACAGCTGTTAAGAGATATACTCTAAAGCACTTCTTCAGTAGAGACTCAGAGAAGAGAAACACACAGAACTTCTTGCTAGCAAGGGCAGTCTCCAGAACTGGGACTCGCACTGAGAAACTGCCCCGGTCTTTATTTATACTTCAGTGGGTGCTTGTGTGTGTGTGTGTGTGTGTGTGTGTGTGTGTGTGTGTGTGTGTGTGTGTGTGTGTGTGTGTGTGTGTGTGTGTGTGAGAGAGACCCCATAAACGACTTCATCTAAACAAAAAGCACTTAGACTAGAACAGATATAGCTACGTTAATCCTACCGTAAAACAATAAGACAAGGTACGACCTCTCCCATACTCCTAGGATGTGGGGGTGAAGCCAGAACACCCTGGAATGTCACAGACCTCCTAGGATGAGACATTCTTTCAATATGCCACCAACTATATACTTCTAAACACAAATGATTACATGCAGTATTCTACCATATGCAAACTTACACCATTAAAAGATTATACTGACTACTAAGTACAATTTTCCTATTGACAACAGCCCACTCACATCCTGGGTCATTTCACCTGAGGAAATCACATGATAGGGTGGGGCAAGGTCTCACAACCTCGGCTGGTAGTGACCCACACCTGTTTTCACACCTTGGCTCATGTGATTAGATAGATTCATTCATTTATTTGTTCATTTCAGGCACAACAGAAATACATATATTGAACATAAAGTGCACAAAACAAAAACAAAAATTACCTGAAAAGGAGTGGGACGAAGAAAACTTATTAAATCCCACCCCTATACTCACTGATCAATAGTGGGTCAGCGACCCCCTTAGTGACTCTGCATCATTTGCTCTTAGAACTGAAGAAGCTTCTTGGATGAAACACCTTCAAGAAACTTAAAGTCCAGACCTTTTTTTACCAAGCTCCTCATATCACCATGAACCTTCAGCAGACCTACTGATCTCTAATCTAGCACATGACCTATACCAGGTTACTTCTGCAGCTTTAGTTACCATGGAGATGAGAACCGATGAGTTAAGCTGGAATGTACTCTGCTTAATACAGAGCTCAGGTGTTTGCAGGTGGCAGGAAGTCACTGAAGCATGATTTCTGCCCTCTCAGCCACACAGCATCGATTTGTAACCTTTGTTTGATTTTAACAAGTTTTCTGCATTCTCCTGATCCACACACCCTCTCACACACACAGAATAAACTGAAACAGTCAGTGACAAGTGTGAGAACATGAGTGATCAAACGTCAGTGTGAATGAGTCCTCAGAGAGCGAGAACCATCTGGAGCCTCTGTGTGTGTGAACACTAAGGGGGCGGATCCCTTTGAGGTCCAGGTGGGAAGCTGGTCCATTTGCTGTGGGCAGCGTTTCCCTGGGGTCCTCACAAAGGCACAAAGAACAACGTGTGTGTGTCTATAAGTCCATATGTAATGTCATGTGGTCTGCTTTGTGTGTGTGTGTGTGTGTGTGTGTGTGTGTGTGTGTGTGTGTGTGTGTGTGTGTGTGATAGAGAAAGAGAGAGAGAGAGAGGAGAGAGCATCTCCCACTGAGACAATCTGTCACCCATTTCCTGCTCTCCTGTGATTGGCCAGAAGAGCTGGCTGCTGGTCAATCACAGACCGTAATTAACAAGCAAGGTGTGCGTGTGTGTTTACAGTGCAACGAGGCTGAGCATGAAAGGAAAGTTGCATAACTGTTCATTATTATTATGGCACAAACACATAGTTGTTTTGATTACACGTTTGGCATAATTTTTAATCATCTAAATGAAAACAACATGTTGCTATGGAAACATGCACACAGAGAAAGGATGTGATTGTAAACTGATTATTGGATAGATTTTGTAAAGGGCATGACCCCCGTTACACCTCAGCATCTCATGTGAAAGCTGCGACTCTGAACAGAAACATAACCTAAACTAACCTCGTATTGTGGCGATACGGTCTCTCAATCACACCACCACACAGTACTGACCCACACATATGGTTCTTACACACACACTGGACTTTCTGGACTTTGGTTTTGCACAACACTGGTCACTATATTCTTCATTCCAGTTATACTTGTACAGTGTTATTGTGTATATATTTATTTATATTTAGATTCTTCATACATTCTTATATAGTTCTATATTGTGTATTTGTTGTACAGTTATTTTATTTTCAACTTTAATTATATATTTTATCTTTCTTCCCAGTTAAATTTACCCTTCATTTAATTTGTGTTGTACAGTTATTCATTTTAACCTTAATTTATATTTATTCCTTCCTAGTTAAATTTACCCTTTTTAATTTTTCATATTTATTTCCTATCTTATTTCCTTATTTCCTTATTGCCTTTTCCTTTTTTGTTTTCTTTAGGTCACGAGCAGTTGTCCAAGCATTTCACTACATATCGTACTGTGTATGACTGTGTACGTGACAAATAAAAATTTGAATTTGAATTGGGTTATCTCAATTGTTCAGTTGTTCTCCTGACTGAAGTTTGGTCCGTGTACAGCGTCCTGCCATGCAATTGCATTTGTTCCTAACCCATCCAAACTTCAGTAACCCTACAAACGTCACTGCTGTTTAGTTTTCTGTCTTCATTTCATTTTAAATCCCTCACTCAGAACATGGTATTGTATATTATTTAATCTTAAAAATTTTTTTGGAGACCTCCCACATACCACTAGAGGGAGCCCACATACCACCAGTGTGGTATGAGTTTGAGAACCACTGCTACAGAGGTCTTAGAGAACATGAGCTCCTTCACCAGCTCCAGATAAAAACCTTCACCAACCAGGTGGGAATTATTTTTTTATAGGTCAAGACTATAGGATCCAAGGAGAGATCAAAGGTCAAAGACATGACCTCAGATATGCTGTGGTCGAGTCTCAGGGAGCTGTTTATGAAGAATGTTTACTAGTTGATGGATTGGCTGATTGATTTCATTCCAGCACATATTGAAGAAATATCCCATTTACACATATTAGAACATGATACTTGTGCTGGTGGATTATGGGAGGGTGGGGCCTTTGCTGGGTCACCTGACTGTGGGTGGGACTTCTTTGAAGCTCTTTCCTCCTTTGTTTCACTGATTAAGATAAACCTTCAGCTTTGTACCTTCATCTAGAGGAGCAGGAAAAATGTGAGCTCAGTGGGCGGGGCCTTTTCTCCATGACCTTTGAACCTGTTCTAGTTTTACTCTTTCAGACATTTTCATGATGGGGGGAGACTGAGCTCAGAATTTTATAATAAAGATGAAAACATGAAACTGTTGAACTGCTTGGTTGTTTCTGGAGTCATGGGTCAGATCTGACACGTTGTCCTTTCTCGCTCTACTTCCTGTTTCAGAGGAAGAGTAAAGTTCACTATCAGGTGGCTGTCATCATCAACTATTTGGGCCACTGCATCTCTCTGGGAGCGCTGCTGCTTGCCTTCACGCTTTTCATGAGGCTCAGGTAATGCACCTGTTTGTCTGTGTGTACACCTGTCTGAAGACATGTCGCACGCTTGCTGTGAGGACAGCTGAAGGGTTAAGCTTCAGTTCCTGGTTCAGGTTAAAGGATCAGTTATGCGCATCCTCACAAAGAAAGGAGCACAGGTCCAGCCCCCTTGTGGACGGTGAGGGTAATGCAGGTGACTGTACCATGAAGAAGATTAAACAAACCCATGATATCCTTCCATCATCTGGACTCACCTTTACAATGGCGCTCACACAAAGCTAGTTATCAACTCACTAATCCTGCACATTCACATGGAGGGCATCTGACCAATCACAAAGGGGCATTTCGTGGGTCACATGACTCTTCTTCCACAGAAAATAATCCCTGTGAGCGCAACCTGATGTTACAACATGGTGATAAAAAAAATCTCTAAAGAACAGCGAAGTATGCAAATAAAATGCAACATTGTAGTAAAAAGGATGAGATACGTGCCACAGAAAATTCTTAATCAATTTAGTGCACGCAAACATTTGAATTCCAGGTGATAGTTTATTACTGAGCACGCTCAGTGCTGCTGTTTGTTTCCAAGGTGATGGCTGGAACCACTGAAACATTGTAGCTTCCTGTCCCACAGCCCGATGAAGGAGGCGTGGAAATCAGATCAGAGTGAATGAATATGATTGGCCGATCAGGCGTTCAGGTGTGTGTTCCATGTTTCCAGCAGAGTGGCGAGACTCAGCATCATGTCTGAATGAAGCAGAACACCACATGCACATCCTGTGACAACACCATTATCGACCATAAATCGACAGTGCGTCTTAAGTATGAATTCTGGTTGTGCTTACTGACCTCAAACCAATTTTATGTGGTACACGGCGCTCAAAAATCTGTCAAGAAATGTTTTAATATGACTTTGGTAAGCTACAAAGCCGCACCGCTTGATGGACTGTCGGAGCATCACGGCTACCATAGTCAGGAGCCTCGTGGAGTGATACGTACTGTGCTTCAACGTAATATTATGGTGTGTGTATAAGGACCTGGCACACCTGGAACACCTAGCTGTTAGGATGCTACATGCTTATGAAGTAGATTTCAGACTTAAGGCTATCAGTCACTTTTTGTTTCGCTTAATGCACCTTATGTATGAAAATAGATCCGTTCATTGATACTGCACCTTATAGTCTGAAAAATATGGAAACTGAGAACATTACCTGCTCTGGACACTTTGAGTTTTTATTGCTGCTGTTCAAGGTTTGAAGCTAGATGTGATGACTGATGACAGGTACAGTGCACTGGTCCTGTTTAAGGATAGGATATTAGAGAGAAAAAAACTGTTGTAAATTTGTTTGCTGACAACAGACAAAAACCTATAGAATAAAAATCAATATGTTTATTATTTACTGATCATCAGGGAAGCACAAAGACAGTGCACTGTAATGAGGGGTTTTCCAGGAATGATGATGCTATTTTCTGGCGATCTGATTGGTCTATAGGTGGCGATGTCATACCAATTGATCTGTAATCTGGAACCTAAGCAGGTCTAGAGAAGGTTGGAGTCACAGCACATGTTACCATGGCAGTTTTTCCCAGTAAGTAATAAACTACCTACAGAAAGCCCAGGTTAACCCTGAAGTTATCTGGATAAGCCAAAACCCAGCTTATCTGTATCTATATATCTATATCTGTAATACAGACCTCTGAAGCTGTGATCCAGTAATTAATTACTAAGTAAAACAAGATCAGAATTAATCTGTGCGAACGAAGATGTATAAATCCTGGCAATCCCTCCTGCACTTAACAGCGTACACTATGTTACTCTGTGTCGGGGGACCCGATCCTTTGGGTGGTCTAATGTTTTGGCGCAGCGTGTTTTGGGGTTTAAAAGCCACAGAGACCCAGTGTTTAGAGAAAATGTGTTTCAGCTGCTCCGATACTCCTGACACGTACGGGATCACTACAGGTTTTCGATTAGCCAGCGGTTGTCCTTCTCTCCTGGAGCTTTCTTTAGGAGCCTTCCCAGCTTTGACAAAAATCCAGCTGGGATAACCACATTTACTCAGGGCCTTCTTGATGTGCTGTCCTTCTGCTTCCCTGGCCGCTGTGTCTGTGGGGATGGTGTTCGCTCTGCGTTAGGCGATATGTAAACCGGCAATCGTCAGTCCAATAATTGTCGATGTAATGTAATAATAATGTGTATGTTTTAGTCCCCATAGGGAAATAGCTCCTCTGCATTTAACCCATTCACCCAGTGAAGCAGTGGGCAGCCACTAATGCAGCGCCCGGGGAGCAGTGTGTAGGGACGGTACCTTGCTCAGGGGTACCTCAGGGTAGCCATTCAGTGGAGTCGAACCCCCGACCTTCCGATCATGGGGCCACCACTCTACCTACTGAGCTATCCCTGCCCCATCCCTGTGGTGACTTTTTGATGGGCGGAGCAATGTAATCATACATGTTTACAACACAGAAGTTCAAACATGGACGAACTAATTTCCCCCAAGAAATTAGGGCTGTCAGCGTTAATGCGGTCATCACGATTAACGCGATTAAAATTTGTAACGCTCTCAACCCATCTGAAGCGCAGAATGAACAAACTTTGGACAAACTGCCTGGAATACGTTGGCAGAGACATTTCAGGGATTGTAGCTCAGTCCGGTCCTGATAGGTTAGTTGTTAATCGTCTTTGTCTTAATGACGGCGCGTTAACGCTGACAGCACTAAAAGAATATTCACATTCACTAACCACTCCCTTGGTAACGATGAGCAATGAGGGATGAGGAAGTGTGATTAGTGCTGCGGTTTGGGGAAGGCCTTGAAGGGGGACTGGCGATGGCTCTCGGGCCGGGCTGAACCCCCTGTACTAACGAGAAATAAAGGGAGGCAAGGAAGAGAGGAGAGGACAGGAGAAGAGAGAAAAAAAGGGGGGGCAGGGTGGGGCATGAAAATGAGATCAGCGTTTCTTCTCTTCACATTGGAGAAGGGAGGCTTTTATAGGCTGAGGCCAGAGGGGGCGTGAAGGAGGAGTGGTCCCGCTCATGAAATTCAGATGATATCTCCACTAAAGTCGCTTATTTTGGATGAAAGAGGTAAACCTAAGGATGTAACCAAAGCAGTGTGCCACTTGTGCAGACGTATAGTGCGAGCAAAGTTCTCAAAGGCGGCTAACTGGCATGAGCATGTACGTGTTCACCATCCGGCTGAGTATCAGCAGCTTCTGCAGCTCTGTCAACAAGCGTTTGGGCGCTCTCTGAGGAGGGGGCTGTTACAACAGCGCTATCATTGTTTTTTCTGTTGACTGGATCTATTATCGCCATCATTCTTAGCAAACGTACTCATGGGCAAATAAACAAATGAATCGCTGATGGGCTCAGCCTTTTGACGATAGTTGATATAGTCATCCTATCGCCCAACCCTACTCTGCATTGTAGCGTCCTGGTGACACCCAGTTTGTGCTCCAGTAGATGATTATTAATAACAAAGTGATTCTGTTCCCATTCAGACCGCGCAATATCACCCAACAGTTTTTCATCACGTTCGTTTCATCTCCCCATCATATGCTACTACTCTCTTTTATTCATTGGCACAATACTATGCCACTTTTAGAATCACCTGCACTGATAGCTAAGCTGTTTATTTTTCAGGATATAGTTATATTGTTACTTCATTAGAGTTATTTAATATTATATTTGCACTACCCTACAGTATATTACTGTATACTAGTATTGTATATATTGTATATCTTATTCCTCCGTTCCTCTGTCTCTCTTGCTGCATTGAGCATGTGTATGACATAAAAATTTCCCTCGGGATAAAGAAAGTTCTTCTTATATTATGATGAGAGTCAAACCTTAAATACTGATCTGTATGTGTCGGTTTACGGTACACATCAGCTTTTAGATGTCCCCCATTACTGATGGAGATCTCACAGTCTAAGAAGGCTAACCTGCCACTTTGATGTGTCGGTCCACTGAGTGAATGTGATCCGTGAAATGTGAAACGTCCTGAGATTTGATTTTCACCCAGGTGTCATCCATATACCTGAACCAATGACTTGTTCCAGAGTAGGATAGCAAAGCCCTCTTTTCCACTTCTTCCATGTACTAGTTGGCCACTCTTGATAGTCCAGGGTCTATCGAGCAGTTTCAGTAGAATGAGCTTGTGAAATGAATGGACCCCACGCAGCCTCAGGTGACAGTTTTGTCATGTTTTGTTTGCACAACACGTCCTTTCTTTTTCCTTAGGTTGGGAAGTTGGCTTTTCAGCTGCTTCTCCACTCCACACTCAGCTCCTCTCTCGAGCCCCAGCATCACTGAAATAGTCTGATTACTGAGTGGCAGCAGCTGTCCTGCCAGCCACCCTGGCACTGCCCCTCCACTGCATCGGAGCCAGATACCACAGCCCTGCCACAGAGCTCTGCAAAAGCCAGGCTGGAAGATAGAGGCACATTATAAGACAGTTGTAAATAACTAGTTTCCTCCACCTGTGTTTGGTGTGCAGCACACCTGCACCGTCGTGTATGCTCCCAGCGTCATGTAGCTTTGACATGATTCAGGTCCTCGCAGACGGGAGAGTTTTTCAACGTTAGAAATGACACCCTCAGGATGTGATTGATGTTCAGACCCTGATCTTCAGCCTGACCTATTAAACTGAACCATTTCAGCCGTTTTCCTTCTCAGCCTCTGATTGGCAAGCTCAGTTTACCTGATGGTCTTTCAGACTTCAGTTTGAACCCCCTGTGGCGAACCTGAACAATGAGCCGAAGCTTGCTGTTCTCGGCCATCGCCCTTCCTCCACTATGTCTACACTTCATGTTGGTGCTTCAGACCCTTCTTCGTCTTCTCTTCTGCATCACACAGGTTGGTTTTGTTTTCATGGGTCCACCGTTCCAGAGCTTGCTGCCTGGTCTACTTTGTCAAGTCTGATTTTTCTGTTCCTGAGCCTGATTGATGCTTTGAAGCTTCTGGATTTTCTCTGTGATTCTTAACTTGGTGAACAGCTGGGAAACACGGCATCTTCCTCCAGGAGAGTCTTCCTCACTTGACTGAATGTTGTCCTTGACAAACTGCTCAGCATTCTCGCTGATATGCTCGTTTCTTCAGCCCAATGATGACCTCCTTCACACAGCTCCTCTCCTCTTTGAAGCCGGTCACGATTTCTGATGAACGAAATGCTAATTTAACACTTGACTCTAAATTAGTCCTGAGAGTAATGAGAAAGCAGGCTGACTTGGACTCGCAAGTGCTTATTGGCTGATAGTTCTTTATTTATCAAAATGATGCGAATGAAAACAAGCTTTAAAACAAACTGAAAGCTCTCCAATTAAAACATGAGAGGGTGATGCAGGGATGGTGATTGCTGTTAAATATTCCGTCATAATGTTTAAATAAAACAAATTGAAGCCTGTTAAAATGTAATGTACTAAAACCACCAGAAGGTGGCAGCAATGATCTGAAAGGTGTTTCCTGATGCTGCTCTGAAAAAGTCTGATGTTGTGAGATTAGCTGCTCACAAACAGGACAAATGCACAAACACAAAGGTGACCAAAAAGGCGAACATGATGAAATCCAGTTTAAACGACTGAGCGCAGCAGGAACAAGCTGCGGAAAGTTCAGTCCTGAAAAGCTCACCTGACTGTATAGTGTGGAGGTGTTTAAGGAGGAGGCAATCAGTTCAAGTCTGTGTGTTTCAGGAGCATTCGCTGTTTGAGGAACATCATCCACTGGAACCTGATCTCCGCCTTCATCCTGAGGAACGCCACCTGGTTCATCGTCCAGCTAACAATGAATCCCGCTGTTACCGAGAGAAACCAGGTGCTCACGCACTCACACGCACAGACACATACTGACAAACACACTGATGCTGACCGTGACGCTGACTCTGGCCTCTGCAGGTGTGGTGCAGGCTGGTGACGGCAGGTTATAACTACTTCCATGTGACCAACTTCTTCTGGATGTTTGGTGAAGGCTGTTACCTCCACACTGCCGTCGTTCTCACCTACTCAACCGATAAACTCAGGAAGTGGATGTTCATCTGCATCGGGTGGGGTCAGTCCATCTGTCCCCCTTTCTGTCTGTCTACCTGTCCTCCTGTCCCTCTCTCTGCTCACCCGTCTCCCTCTCTGTCTGTCTGCAGGTATTCCATTCCCCATCATCGTGGCGTGGGCTTTTGGGAAGCTGTACTACGACAATGAGAAGTAGGTCATGTGACCAGATAAGACTTCTGCTAAATATAATGTGTTGCAATATTGAACGTGAGGAGTCATGTGACTGTGTTTTGATTGACAGGTGCTGGTTTGGAAAGAGGGCGGGAGTTTATACAGACTACATTTACCAAGGCCCCATGATCCTGGTCCTGCTGGTAGGAGCACAGCCAGTCCACCTTAAAAACACTACAGTCCTCCTTAAACACAGCCAGTCCATCTTAAATTCTGTCAGAGACTGATGCTGATGTTTTGGAGATTCCTTTGACCAGCAAGTGGTGCCGAAGCCTCCATCAGACAGTAGAAACCAGTAAAATCCCATAAAGTCTATAAATATCAGATTTGTTACAGACAGCTGAGAGGATGATTTATCGAGAGAGGAAGAGGAGTGAGATGGTCTGGTTTAACGTGAGAAGACACGTCAGCTGACAAGCTGTCATGTGATGTGGTCTCTGAAACCTGCTAACCTGATCAGACTCAGAGATGTACACACACTGTGAAGTCACATGTGTGTGAGAAACACCTGCACAGGTAACTTGGCTCATAGTCCAGCTGTGTATAAACCTGGAAGTCTTCTTCTCCTCAGATTAACTTCGTCTTCCTGTTCAACATCGTCCGGATCCTGATGACCAAACTCAGGGCATCAACAACCTCAGAAACCATTCAATACAGGTAGAAACACACCTGTAAATAGGAAGAGCGTGACAGCTGAGCTGGGTTTGTGATTGATTGATCAGAAATAAGTCATTGGTTTGGTCTTACAGACAGATGAGAGCAGGTGTGATGTACAGGTGATAGTTAGCTGTCGCCTCACCTTTGCATGTCTCTTTGGAGGTCATCAAACACTCACACTGGCCGTGTCTTTACGGTCTGTCTTCACTGATGTTTATGCAGCTCCTCACATAAACCAGCTTATTTTCCCCTCTTGCTGCATGAGCCTGTTTGCTGAAGGTAAAGAATGCCTGTGTGGGTTAATGTGCTTCTCTGGTGCTGCAGGAAGGCGGTGAAGGCGACGCTGGTGCTGCTGCCTCTGTTAGGAATCACCTACATGCTTTTCTTTGTGAACCCCGGAGGAGAGGACGAGGTCGCTCGGATCGTCTTCATCTACTTCAACTCCATCCTTGAGTCCTTCCAGGTTCAGACTGCCACCCACACCAGAGGGAGCCTAACACAGTTTAATCGATTATCAGAGAGCCTCGGTGTGGTCACTGAGCACTAATACATGAGCTGTTGCTGTCAGACCAGGTTCAGCTTACTAAATCCAGTTTACTATGCTGGTCTCAGTCCAAGACTAAATTGGCCGAGCTTTCTTAGCTCAGTTTACACAGACTGATCTAAAAAGAATCATAAACCTTTAGCTTAGCTATTAGCCAGAACGTTGATGGACACATCCTTTGATGATGTCACTTCTAGGCTGGACTCTTGTAGCTCCTCCGCCCATCAGTCGCTGTTGGCTAACTTGTCGACTCTCTGTGTCCCTGCAGGGCTTTTTCGTCTCTGTGTTTTACTGCTTCCTGAATAGCGAGGTTTGTCATGTTAATCAGGATTCCTCTTGGTTTCACATCATGTATGAATCGTATTTACATGACCGTTCTGATGTCTCTGTTTACCCGTTTACATATCTAGGTGCGCTCCGCGGTCAGGAAGCGTTGGATTCGTTGGCAGGACCGTCACTCCATCCGGAGCCGTGTCATACGTGCCACGTCACTGCCCACCTCACCGAGCAGAGTGTCCTTCCACAGCATCAAACAGTCCTCAAACCTCTGACAGACCTGAACTCACCCAATGGCGGTCTGAGATGTGATTCTCGTTGGCCAATCTGAGCTCTTATGATGCATGAGGACCAGACAGTTAGAGGGGGGGGCTCTGTGTGGCCCCGCCTCTCTTCACCCTCACTAGACTCTCTGTCTCTGGACTCAACCAATCAGCTGCTTCATATGTTGCACTGAGCAGTAGGGATGGGTATTGATAAGATTTTCACGATTCCGATTCCATTTTCGATTCTGTTTAACGATTCGATTCTTTATCGATTCTTTTTAAAAAAGGAGAACACTAAGGTCAACTAGCTTAGAACTTTGTTTTATATCTTCTCTTTGAACAAGATAGAAATTTAGGAGTAACATGGCCTTACAAACCCAACAGTGAGATCTTAGATCCAGCCTACGGCTCTTCAATGGGGTGTCACAGGGTCCCCAGGAAAAAAATTGTAAATGTAAAATAATAAAATAAATATTCTTCTGTAGCAATAACAAAGTGTAACATAAATTATTCTGTAGCAATTACACAAGAATATCCAGTAATGTCCCTGCCTACAATTAAACACATTCACTTACTGAAAATCATCTGCTGTGGCAAACTGCTGCAAGCCTTTGACCACAAACTGAGTCACTGCTCGGTGACATTCGTCTATCCTGGCCTGAAAGGAGACGCTGCCACTAGACTGCAGCGAGAACTGCCAGCATCTGAGCCAGACTCTGTCTGTCTCTCTCATCATGGTCACTAAATGCACAGTAATGGCAGGTTTGTAATAAGGCAGATCGCGCTAACATAATATGCACTGTTAGTTGATTATTTACCTGCCGCATTAACGGGAGAGGACGTGCAAACGTTACCGCTGCTGCTGGGTTGAGATTCACGAGTCCGGAGCGAATTAAAAACACGACATTCATTTAAGGTCATCGTGTGTTTTGTGAGCAAATGCTTTTGCATATTCGTAGTGTTTCATCCCTTAAATGAAATATCTACTTTGCAAATATTGCAAGTTGCCCTGTTGTCATCCGTTCTCATAAAGTATAATCAAACTTTTGAGCGTTTAAGCTGCCGTGTTTCCTGCCAGGTAAATGACGCTCCGCAACGTGGTGACGTCATTCGGGGCAACTGGAATCAATAAGGGAATCGTTTGCAAAAATGGCAAACGATTCCAAGGAACTGAAACAGGGGGAACCGGTTCTCAACAAGAACCGGGTTTCGATACCCATCCCTACTGAGCAGCCAGACTGCATTTTATAATCAGTTTAGTGGTTTATTGATCAGTGTTTTATTTATCAGCTATTACTGTATGTATTACTGATCACCAGCTTTCTGCTCTTCACACACACGCACACTGATCATCACAGATTCAGAGGTGTGTGGTGAGAAACCTAACCCTAACTTAGACTGTCTGATAACCCTGACCCAGTACTCACTCTTTACTGCCTGGACGTCAGCTTCCTGCTCTACTTCCTCTGGTGAACATTTATTCAGATTAAATCTTCGGGCAAGTGGATTAAGGATTTGTACCATTTCCACCAGTGGCAGGAAAGTAAAACTGGATTATCAGCAGGTTTTATTTTGCATCAGATGGAGTCTTTATAGCCACAAGAACGTCTGCTTGATGTTTGGTGTGAGTGCTCCGCCACAGAGACACTGCTGAAGACACACAGCAGCAGATCCAGGAGTGTGTGTGTGTGTGCACGTGTGTGTACGTGTGTTTGTGCATGCAGTTTAATAAATTAACCCAAGCTTAACTTGCTGTGAAAGGGGCGGAGTTTACATCATGTGACCAATCAGAAACATGGACAGATCAGCAAACTGATCTCTATTTATTTCCTTCGTGAACAAATGGAAAAGAGGCCGTTTATACAATGATTTCCACCTGCAATCCCTGGCCAGGTAAAAATACGTGACACACACAAGTTGACACACAAGCTACCACGGCGAGTGGGCTATGGAACGCCAGGACTGCCATAATGAATTAATTAAATACACCATTAAATATTTAATTAAATGTGTCAATAATTAATTAAAATTGGAATTAATTAATTAAATAAATAGTTATGACACATGTAATTAATTAATTATTGACAAGGAGTAACAAGGAGTAACACTAGGCCCAGGCTCTTCCAGCAGCCACTAGGCCCAGGATCCTCCTGCTCCACCAGGCCCAGGCTCCTGCAGCAGCCACTGGGCCCAGGCTCCTCTAGCAAGGCACCAAGAAGTAAATCAACAGTGATTTCAACGGGCCATCACAAGGAAATACCAATCTCATCATTTTCAAAATGCCGCCTAAAAAAGCAAACCCAGCAGTTGAAGAGGAGTTGGAGGAGATTAGGAAATCGCTTAATTTCATGTCTGATGAACTGAGCAAAGTGGCTAAACAACAAGGTATGCTACATGACCTAATGGATGAAATAAAACAACTAAAAAACCTCATAAAGGACAAGGACAAGAAAATAGACGACTTGGAATGGCGAATCGAGGACCTTGAACAATACACAAGAATGGATGATTTAGTCATAAGTGGACTGGAGACGCAACACCGAACCTACGCCAGAGTAACAGCTGGTGGAGGTAAAGACGGTGAAGATGCCCCGGTAGAGGAGCTGCAAACGCTTGAACAGCAAGTGATAAAATTCCTTCAAACGAAGAATGTAAGTATTCAGAGCCATCATATTGCAGCATGCCACACGCTTCCCAGAAAAGACAGTAAAACAAAGCCATCAATCATTCTTCGGTTTGTGAGTCGCAAAACAAAGATTGAGTTACTGAAACAGGGTAAGAAGCTAAAAGGGACTGGTGTGTATTTAAATGAACATTTAACGAAAAAGACTGCTGAAATTGCAAGACAGGCACGCAGCCTGAGAAAACAAAAATAAGATACAAGCGACATGGACGATGAACTGCAACGTAATGATAAGACTAAATGGCAATCCCAAAGAAGCGAAAGTTGTGATGATAAGAGAACTCAAAGACTTAGAGCAATATAAATAATCAGGAATCTGCTATGGAATCTATTGGAAAAGTGACGATTGGATAATGAACAATGGGTATGGAAAGTGTTTCTGGCCTTACGGCTCAAAAACAATGGAAACAACAACAACAAAAACAAAAACACATAAATGACAAGTTTGGACACAGATTATAGGTTTCCATTCAGAGATATTGAAGAGAAAGAATTTGATTATGAAAAGGACTGTCAAGGTGGTTAATTTGCCACACTCTGAGAAAACGAACTTCAAAACGTTTAACTATGCAGAGCACAACATGCATGACCCTGAAAGTAACATTGACCCAGATACCCACTTCTACAATAACACCAATAATACTTGTGAGTACTATACGGGCGTTAAGAAGGTGGTCGTCCAGGTGAGATCCTCGGAGATGTGGACTCCCAGGAACTTGAAGCTGCTCACACGCTCCACAGCCGTCCCCTTAATGTGGGCTAAGCTAAAGCTAACACCACACCGGCTGCCTTTACCCAGTATTTTTCTCGCCAATGTCCGTTCTCTGGCAAACAAAATGGATGAGATACGGCTCTCCATCACTAACAACAGACGGATTATGGACTCAAATGTCATGTTTTCACCGAAACATGGCTGAACAACAGCTGCCCGGACAATGCTATCGAGTTAGCAGGACGCCACACACACCGAGCCGACAGGCTAGCAGATGACTCCGGCAAGACCAGAGGTGGAGGTTTGTGCATTTATATTAACAATGCTTGGTGCATGAACTCCACTACTACTGAGAGTCACTGCTCACCTAATGCGGAGTTTTTAATGGTCAAATGCAGACCTTATTATCTCCCCAGAGAATTCACTTCGATCATACTCACTGCCGTGTATATACCCCCCGACGCTAATGCTAGGTTGGCCATGAAAGAACTTTCTGCAGCCATTAACAAACACCAGAATAAACACCCCGAGGCTGCTTTTATTGTTGCTGGCGACTTCAACCACACCAACTTAAAGACAGTCCTCCCCAGATTCCACCAACATGTCTCCTGCCACACCAGAGGAGACAAGACTTTAGACCATGTGTATTCCAACCTGGCTGGAGCCTACAAAGCCACACCCCTCCCCACATTGGACAATCGGACCATCTCTCCCTGTTCCTCACACCTCGGTATTCACCACTCATCCAACATGTGAAACCTGCTGTGAGGACAATTAAAGTGTGGCCAGAGGGGACAGACGCAGTGCTCCAGGACAGATTTAAAAACACAGACTGGAATATGTTCACCCACACAGACCTGGACCAGTACGCCTCATCTGTACTGGATTACATCTCCAAAACCACAGACAGTGTCACCACCCAGAAACGGATCACCATGTACCCCAACCAGAAGCCTTGGATGAACCGGGATGTTCGTCTCCTCCTGAAGGCCCGCAACACCGCCTTTAGGTCAGGAGATGCACACGCCTACACTACAGCCAGGGCTAATCTAAAGAAGGGCATCAAAAAAGCCAAACACCATTACAAAAAGAAGGTAGAAGAACACTTCTCCAACTCCAACCCCCGACGCATGTGGCAAGGACTCCAGACCATCACAGACTACAGGACCACCAAACCCTCCCCCGCATCCTCTGATGTCTCCTTCCTCAACGAGCTCAACAACTTTTATGCTCGTTTTGAGCGAGGGAACCCCACAACCACAACCAAAGCAGACATGACGCCAGACCACCAACCTATGACTCTCTCCCCCACCGATGTAGGAGCGGTGCTGAGCAGGATCAATGTCCACAAGGCTGCAGGCCCTGATGGCATCCCCGGGCGTGTTCTCAGAGCGTGTTCTGGGGAGCTTGCAGGAGTGCTCACAGACATATTCAATCTGTCCTTGGCCCACGCTGTGGTACCGGCCTGCTTCAAATCCACCTCCATCGTCCCGATACCCAAAAACTCCAACCCATCTTGCCTCAATGATTACCGCCCAGTAGCACTCACCCCCATCATCACTAAGTGCTGGTCAAGAAGCTGGTCAAGAAGGCTCACCAGCGCCTCTTCTTCTTGAGGACTCTGAGGAAGAACCACCTGTCCTCAGACATCCTGGTGAACTTCTATCGCTGCACCATCGAGAGCATCCTGACCAACTGTATAACAGTCTGGTACGGGAACTGCTCTGCCTCGGACCGGAAGGCGTTGCAGAGGGTCGTGAAAACTGCCCAGCGCATCGCCGGAGCACCACTTCCTGCCATAAAAGACATCTACAGGAAGCGGTGTCTGAAAAGGGCTGGGAAAATCATCAAAGACCCCAGTCACCCATCACAT